TCTGAGTTTTTTTTTTTTTAAGATTTTATCTGAGAGAGAGAGAAAGAGATAGAGAGCTTGAGCGGGGAGGAGGGGGAGAAGCAGACTCCCCGCTGAGCAGAGAGCCCGACCTGGGGCTTGATCCCAGGACCCAGGGATCATGACCTGAGCCGAAGGCAGACGCTTAACCAACTGAGCCACCCAGGCGCCCCTGTATTTCTTATTTTAAATCACAGGGTCACAGTAGAGGTAAGTGAAAATTTTGGATTTCAGTCCAAAGTACCAAATTTTTAAAGTACAGCACGGGGAGAAATGTAGCCTACAACAGCACCGGTTTAAAAAAAACAAAAAAAACAAAAACATAATAGTACTGCCCCCAAACTAACTCAGACTTAGTCCTATTAGTAAAAGGGTTATATCCAAACACGGGTATGTGGAGTCCTGATGCACTTTGCTATGATTCGGTCATACCTATAGCTAACGTGTACATTCCACACTTGATAAACTGGAACTTGTGCATAAGAAGGACCTGATTGTGAGGGGACACAAAACTGCACTCTGTGAGAAAAGAGGTGGAAGCAGGATTCACTAGAACTATAAACGTGAGAGGACTGACCTGGCCCAGAATTAAAAAAAAAAAAAAAATCCTAATTACAGTTACTCAAGCACTGTGAGTTCCTTCTCAAGCTACTATTTTCTCTCTCTGGAGGTCAGTGCTACACAAATATCAGGGATGTGGTAGGAGTTTTATGTATCAAATGGAAATTTGGGCAGGATGACTTCTCAGGTCCCTTATAATCCTTAATTCATTGCCATACTTTAATGATGTAGCATATATAATAATATATTAAATAAAAATAAAAGAACATATTTTGCCTTTGGCACTTTTAAGAACTAGTCTGGAATAACACCATCTGAATTTTGAACATGTGGTAGCTATTTATAAGACTGTTGGATATAATTTGAAAGTGATAATCTGTCACAAAGTGTATCATTAAATAGGATGACATTTTAAAGGATTTTTAGATTTGGGTTACTTCAAGTGAATTATAAGATTTTTCTTTTTTAAATAGTCCAAGATTGATCAAGACAAGTCTTTTATACTTGAGGAACACATGGACAAAATAAACAGGTACTTAAAGAGAGGTCTCAGTACATCTCTTCTTTTGGAAGGACTATATTAAATTGAATTTGCTAACATTGTAATTACATTGTGTTTAATGCACTGAATTTGAGATCAGATAGAGTGCTTTTATTTTTTCTTTTTAAAGTAGCTTCTCGCCTACTCTTTCAGGGGGGAAATAACTCCATTATACTGAAATAATCTATCGTGCTGATTCATTTTAGTGTAAAACTTTTTTTTTTTTTAATGGGAAAGAGAGGCTAGAAAATAACAATTGAATTATCTTCATAAAGTCATTTTTTTATGAACGTCTTATGAAGCTGATCAAAAGATTTTTTGTGCAGTGATTTGAGAGACTGATAGACTGGCTTAAGGAACAGAAGAGGAGGGATAGAAACTATTGGAAAATAAGACAATTATCTCTACATTTTAGAAGCATCAGTTTTTCACAGTTAAGATATTTATTTATATGTAATATATACAAAAAAGCATAAGAGAAAATTTAGGCTTTATTTTGCATTAATAAAAGTAGGCTGCAAACACTTACCCAGAGAAGCAAGGTTTTATTTCATCATCCTGTAAAATAGCTTGGAAAATTTTTCATTATTGAAATGGGGTTTGGGGAAAGCCTGTGTTTAGATTCATTGCTATTTTGGAAAGAAGAAATCGCTTGCAGATTGGTGAAATCATGTGTTTCCTTTTTTATAGTTGGTTCTCGGCCAATACCTTGGAAAAGATAATTGAAAATTTACAGCAAGATGGTTCATCTTTTGCCCTAGAACAGTTGAAGGTAATATATGGATCATTTCTGTCCTGAGCGTGGTGAATCCTTGTGGTAAGGAAGCCTCTTTGAAGCCTCTTGTGTCAGAACTCTGTGGTGTTGACATAGACCACTGCATAGGTTTTTTTTTTTTTCCTGAACTCAATTGAGCCTCAGAAAGCATTTTCACGAAACCTTTATCTAAACCCAAGTGCCTTGTCTACCTGCTGGATGTTGACAACAAAGCTGAGCTGTTTTTAGGTCCTGTGAGTGTAACAGAGAAAGACTTAAGGAGGCATGCCTCATCTCCTGGGAGTCCTCTTTGTCCTGGGGAGAAGCATTTAAGAACATTTTTATTAGAAGGGTTGGGTTACTGGAGTATAGTCTTTTTTCTTTTTTTTTTTTTTTTAAAGATTTTATTTATTTGACAGAGACACAGTGAGAGAGAGAACACAAGCAGGGGGAGTGGGAGAGGGAGAAGCAGGCTTCCTGCTGAGCAGGGAGCCCGATGCGGGGCTCGATCCCAGGATCCCGGGATCATGACCTGAGCCGAAGGCAGACACTTAACAACTGAGCCCACCCAGGCGCCCTGGAGTATAGTCTTTTTATAATATATTGCAATTCAATTCTGCCATTAATCTATAAATTCAGTTGAATATGCAACAGATCAGTATATGGTCTTTCTAAGCAGTAGGTTTAATTAAAAAAAATGATCCTTTTTAACCTGGTCAGAGGCCCCATCTATCCCCATAGCTGAGGTTTAAGCAGTGTTTCTCAGTGTTAGGCACACTTTGATGTTTCTATGATGTCACTCAACTGGTAACAGCAAAACAAAGCTGTTTTTGTATAAAGGCGTGCATGAGTACTGACATGCTTGGAACTCTAAGTATGAGACTTGGAATATATCAGACTTCTACACAAAGGAGAGAAAAAATTGTGTTTCCTTTTACTTTATAGAAAAGGTGTTAATAGCTTTTCCTTATCTGATAGTATTTTTTAGTTTATAGGTATAATTGTCACATTTCAGTTGTCAGAAAACTTAGAAAAGTTTAAAGTTTCACCTGTGAAGATGAAAACACTTCCGCATTGTTACTGTATTGTCTCTTTCTCTTTTTTGAAAGATTATATTTATTTGAGAGCTGCTCTTGCACATCAGGGTGGGGGGGGAGGGGCAGAGGAAGAGGGATAAGCAGACTCCCCACTGAGCAGAGAGCCTGACAGCCCAACAGGTGGGGAGGCTCCATCCTAGGACCCCCTGACCTGAGCAGAAGGCAGACTTAACCACATAACTGACTGAGCTACCCAGGCACCCCTCCCATTGTTAACTATATTCTTAAGGTGGAAATCCCAAATTAGTCTCTTAGGGCCTTATTTAGTAATTAGAATTCTATTAACTTTCTTTTTTTTTTTTTTTTAAGATTTATTTATTTTGACAGAGACACAGCGAGAGAGGGAACACAAGGGGAGTAGGAGAGGGAGAAGCAGGCTCCCTGCTGAGCAGGGAGCCTGATGCGGGGCTCGATCCTAGGACCCCAGGATCATGACCTGAGCTGAAGGCAGTTGCTTAATGACTGAGCCACCCAGGTGCCCTGAATTCTATTAACTTTCAAGGATAGGCATAAATTAGAGTAGATAGACCAGTCATATGTTTTCTTAATTCACAATAGTAAATTAATGTGAGTCTTAACAGCTTTTAGGAATGCTCACATAAATCTAGATAATCATTTTATATTTCAAGGATTCTGATGTTAAACTGGTAAACTTGTTCTCTTGTTTCCAGAGCAGTATAGAAACTAGTATTCCTGGTTTTTTCTCCCCTGAGCAATAGGCTCAGGTAAGTATGAACTTAGTAATTTCATTTGAGAATAGTCATGCAGCACATTATTACCTCATACCTATATGGTCTCACTTTAAAGCAGTACAGATATGCAAGATGACATACTATTTTAAAACCACTGGCCTACCCCAGAACTGAGGGATAGAACTCAGTTTTCTTTCAATATTCTTTCTATTCCTCTGGTACTACGATTATTCTGCATCCAGAAGAGGTAGGTACCTGGCAAGCCACCCATCACAGCTAGGATCACGGTAGGCTAGGATCACTGTGGGCACTGTCTTCAGAAGGACAGGTTTTGATTTTTATTCAGTTGATCTGTAGCTCAATTGTGGCTCCAAAATATTAGTATCTGCTGGGAACAACATGATGTGAGGATCAAAAAATTCCCACTGAGGCTTCCCTGATAGAGCTTAGATACAGGGTTCATTTTAATTACCTCAACCAGAAACATACATCAAAAAACAGCCCTGAAGGAGAAAATAGCTTTTGGTGCCTCAGTGAAAGGTTTGCAGATCAAATGTTTAGACAAATTTTTGAAAAGATTCTAATACTTGTGTCAGTAAGCTTCTAGGATTGCTCCTAACCCTTATTGGCCTTTCAGGGACTCCACTCTTCCTCTGTAGGTCCCAAGGATCCAGTCTTTTTATGGTCAAGTTGCAACCATCTACTCTATGTATAAGGGTTCCTTTCCTCAATTGCCCATGGGGAAGGACATAATCTTTTCAACATATTTGCTTATCATTAAATAAAAACATGCTTTTTTTTTTTAATCCCTTCTTTAGATTTCTAAAGTTTTCACTGCTAATAACTATAGGATAGCATGGGTTAAAAAAATAACAAATATGAGTAACTCAAATTCTTTACAACTGATGCAATTTTCATAGTAGCTTAGTTTATGGCTTCTCATGTCCTTTCTTAGATTTTCTTTCAAAGTTCAATACTTTTTTTAATGCTTGTGGTTGAAATTCCTCTAATCTGCTTTTAATCCCCCTTTTGGTGTGGTTGTTCATGATGCCGAACAATCCATGTAAGCTATTTGGGCAATTTAGGTGTCGCAATGCATAGCTCACATTAGGGAAAACTTAACCAAAGTCTCCATTTGCTGGTGCTCTTGTGTGCGTGTATGCACGTTTTAAATTGTGGTGAAATACATATAAAATATACCATCTTAACCATTTTTAAATATATAATTCAGTTTTGTTGAGTATATTCACCTGGTTGTACAACCAATCTCCAGAACATTTTCATCTTACAAAGCTGAGTGAAACTTTATACCTATTAAATAACAACTCCCCATTTCCCCCTTACTCCAGTTCCTGGCAACCACTGTTCTACTTTCTGTTGCTATAAATTTCACTACTCTGGATACCTCATATAAGTGGAATCATACAGCATTTGTCTTATCGCGATTGGCTTATATCACCTAGCATAATGTTTCAAGGTTCATACATGTTGTAGCATGTACCAGAATTTCATTCTCTTTTAAGGCTGAATATTCCATTTTGTGTATATACCACATTTTGCTCATCCATCGTTGATGGGCATTTAATTTGGGTTGCTTCTACCTTTTTGCTTTTGTGAACAGTTCTGCTATAAACATGGGTATACAAATATCTCTTCAAAACCCTGCTTTTAGAGCCAAGATGTCCATCAGCAAATGAATGGATAAAAAAGATGTGGTATAAATATACAATGGAATATTATGCAGCCATCAAAAGATGAAATCTTGCCATTTGCAACGACATGGATGGAACTAGAGGGTATTATGCTAAGCCAAATAAGTCAATCAGAGAAAGACAAGTATCATATGATCTCACTGATATGAGGAATTCTTAATCTCAGGAAACAAACTGAGGGTTGCTGGAGTGGTGGAGGGTGGGAGGGATGGGGTGGCTGGGTGATAGACATTGGGGAGGGTATATGCTATGGTGAGCGCTGTGAATTGTGTGAGACTGTTGAATCACAGACCTGTACCTCTGAAACAAATAATACATTATATGTTAATAAAAGAAAAAAAGAAGATAGTAGGAAGGGAAAAATGAAGGGGGCGGAATTAGAGGGGGAGACGAACCATGAAAGACTATGGACTCTGAGAAACAAACTGAGGGTTTTAGAGGGGAGGGTGGGGGGATGGGTTAGCTTGGTGATGGGTATTAAGGAGGGCATGTATTGAACGGAGCACTGGGTGTTATCCGTAAACAATGATTCATGAAACACTACATCAAAAACTAATGATGTAATGTATGGTGACTAACATAACATAATAAAATAAAATAAAAAAAAATCCTGCTTTTAATTCTTTTGGATATATACCCAGAAGCAGAATTTCTGCATTATATGGTAATTCTGTTTTTAATTGTTTGAGGAAGCTCCATATTGTTTTTCATAGCAGTTGCACCATTTTATTTTCCCACCAACAACAGTGCATAAAGTTTGCCAACTCGTTATTTTCTTTTTTCTACTATCCTAATGGCTATGAGGGGGATAGCTCATTGTGTTTTTGATGTACATTTCCCTAATGATTAGTGATACTGAACATCTTTTCATATGGTTGTTGGACATTTGTATCTTTGGGAAATGTCTAGTTCAAGTCCTTTGCCCATTTTTTAGTTGGGACTTTTTTTTTTTTTTTTTTTAACATGATTGAGCTGTAGGAAATGCTGTCCTGTTTCATCTTCCTTTTCTGGTAATAAGACTAGCAGGCTTGCCAAAGTAAAGAAGGTTCTTCAGGACCAATGAGGGAAGTGTTTATTTTTTAGAATTGCAAGTGATATCAATAATCAAAGAAATGTGAGTAGAAGAGATTGAGACCCCCCCCCCAACTGTGTCAGCAAGGACACTAAGCCAAGGAAAGGTATTTCAGTAGGATCACTAATCCTTAGGAGTGCTGGAGTATGAAGTCCATGGCCAGAGAGACAGAGAAATAAGAATAAGGAACAGTGGGTCCAATTAGTATCCAGGAAGGTGTTCCTGAGCAAATGGCCAGGGAAACCAGTGTTGCTTTTGACTTGTCTTTTAGGTGTTTATACTAATTGTTATAATATGACATGATTTGATATAATATAATAATATAATAGGATAGGCTATTGTGTTAAAGGCTTAAAGGGCATATAAGTTCTTTTTTTTTTTTTAATATTAGAAGACTTTTTAAATTCTTTGGAATTTCTTCTTTCTAATTACCAGTGTGGGATTT